GAATCCAGCATATGTCTGTTATCCAAGTAGTGCTGAGACTTCCCGGAGGACTGAGAGCCTGAGCGAGACAGGCTCCACCTACAGCTGCCAATGCCTTGTGTCATGGAAACTCCTGCCACCGTTTACATACATTTAAGCCTTGTTTTAAATCACTTTTGATACAGTCATTTCTTACCGATGAATAAAATAAAACTCCATTATTTCAAGTGTGTGATCTTTGATTAAGTGTGCATATTTGGAGGTCGTTAGAAAACAGAAACCCTATTAATAAGGAAATAGGGCACATGTTCTCACAAATACTGTAGTATTTCCAGCAGGAGGTTCTCTGAATCATGAGCAAGAAGCATACTGAGTGCTTGTCCCTGAAACTGAGGTATATTAAATACAATACCATTAGCTGTGTACTGTGTAAAAATGAAATCCATAGGATACGTTTCGCCCTGCTTCGTTCTACTTCATATGCTTCGTTAACGGCCTTATGTAAATTTCAAATACATCTCAATTGATCTTATGCTAGACTAATGTCAGGCCTTAAACTAAAAATAGATTCCGAGACTAAAGTGCTGAAGGGGTCTATATTAATAGCTCCTGGGTTAATTCACATGTGTTTTTGAGTCATGACATATTACGTGTTCTTCATTCTCGGTTTAATAACCAGTTTCTGAAAAGGAAAGGGTAGTAAATAGTTGTAAGTCATCTAGTGGCTTTTTGGTAATTTCGAGATTGCCAACACAGCATGAATGCAACATTGCAGCAACTTGTTCCGAAGAGAAACAGAAAGTATTCCGGGGCTGTTAAAACTCACTGGATATGCAGATTGTTATGTGCCTCGACAATACATTAAGAAGTTTTCGAAGGATCCAGGAGCAACGCTTTGAATTAAGCGGAATGTAGGATTATGTCTTGTATTTTAGCTGTTGTTTAAGGTTTTTAGCGTAACAGCTAAAATATGCGGTTTATTTCTTCTCAGCGAGCCGTTTCTTCAGCAGTGCAGAAGTGAAGTGATCGTAGAACGGCACGGAAAATGAGCCGACAGGGTAAGGTTTCAGAAAATATTTAAAACTTTTTGTTTGTTTTTTGTTTTCTCCTCCGAGGTTTTGTTGAAGTTCTATATTTATCCAACTTTTAGTACTAATGTGTTTGTGCTGACTTTTTCCATTGAGCTGTCATTCTCTTACATGTTTAATGGATAGAACATTGTCACAGATCTCTCACAGGATTTCTGAATTTATGTTCAGATTCCTTTTCCATGCTCAAAGCTTACATGGCTCTCATTTCTGGCTCAACGTAATTTATTTTGGAGGTTTACCGGCTTTTCTTCGGACTTATTCCCCGCACTGTAAATGTGGGGAAATTATATAAATCGGCATGTGCTTTTCCCAATCAGCCAATCGCATCAAACAACGAATTTGGCTAATTGGAAATGTTGATATTTTAGAGTAAAATTTACACTGAAAATTATATAACTCCTAATGTAGAAATTATAAAATATAAAAGGTTTGACTGTTTTTGGTTCATTTCTCTTTGGGTATGTTATGATCCAGAAGAATGTTTTAAATATATATCTTCTTTGTTTGCACTCTCTCTTCCCATCAGCTAACAGGTACCATGGGCTGATAAACCAAGGATCCACATGTTACTTGAACAGTGTGCTGCAGGTGCTGTTCATGACCGAAGACTTCAGAGATGCTGTGACAAGGTTTGTTGTCCAGCTTTAAGCATGATTCTGTATTTATCATATATAAAGTCTATTGTGCATTTTTAATCACTCATCTTTACTTTCTTTGTAGGAACTCTGAAGAAAATCCTCACACTGAGTTTCTTGATCATCATCTGAAAGCCTTATTTGATGACTTACATAACTATAGAGCATACACATATGAAATAACACAGAAGCTGGGCATCGACAATGGTAAAGAGCAACAAAAACTTCAAACAGTGTAAACTCCTGAGCACTGTATAAGAGTAAAATATGACTATTATTGATCTAATTATTTAATTATTACAACAATGGAAAATTTTAGGGTAAAATTACAAATATACTTCTGTACAAATGTACTTCTTCTTTTTTTTTTTTTTTAATTATATGCATTTATCACAGTGTATGAACAGCGTGATGCTGCAGAGTACTTTGAGAGGGTTTTAAGAATGACCAGCACTGATGCATCAAAGGTAAGGCCATTGATGTCAAAGGGTATCTATATACTTGATCAAAACATCACTTTTTAATTATGGGGTCTTTGCTTTATAGTATAAAATGCTTTGGACAACTTTTATTGTGAGCAAGTGCAATCTAATTAAACCTGAACTAAAATAAAATGAACAGGTTTTTGTGAATTTGTATTTTCAGATCTTCCACGGTCAGTTAGCAAACAAGACCACCTGCTCTAAAGGACATATACAGACTGACGGAGATGCACCGTTTTGGCATCTTCCTCTTTCACTGGTGGATTACTGCAGTAAAGACTACAGTGTGGTAAGGATATGACAAGCTGCAAACTTCTCTGCATGTTTCTATTCTTAGGACATGACAGCTGTGAGAAAACATTTTGAGCCTACATGTTTTTGCCAGTAAAAAAACCCCATATATTTTCATATTTTTCTCAGGAAATGATGATTGTTTTACTTTCATTTTATCCACTTTTTATCAAATGATTCTGTCCACTGCATAAAGTTAATGTTACACTTTATCACTTTGTTACTATTTCAGTACACATTATTCAGTACACATCATTATTGCATATCTCAAATTTAGATTGATTTGCTATAGATAAAAAGGAGTAATCATGTGATAAATCCTGTAACTACAGTGTTATGAAAATGAAACAGTTGCTGAACCACTTCAATTACCATGGCCTACAGTACAGCTTTCAGCATAAAATTATCCAGAACCTCTAAAATATTATGAGCTGTCTAAACGATCAACTTAGGACTGTTTTTTTTTTTTTAAATTGAAAATACACAATTTGTGTAGTTTTGCCTTTGAACATCACCACAGTGGGTCAAACAATCCATGTGAAGTTCACACTTTCAGCTTTAACTTAAGGGACTAAAATTCAAATCCATACATGTAAAGCCACATCTATTACAGGCCTCGTCAGTGCCAAGAAAACATTTGTCTCTTAAACAATAGATCTTAGCCTTTGAAGCTTACCTAATAAACTGAGTGTGTCATGCTTAAAACCTTCCTCCTCGAGGAGACATTCTTCACCTCACTGGTCAGCACATGATTGTTTGAGCTGATTTTACATAACATTTTTCAGGTGAAGGGCATTGAAGAGTTTTTTAAACCTTCAGATTTCTGTGGAGAGAATCAAATGTACTGTGAGCAGTGTGATGACAAAGTTGATGCTACTATGGTGAGTTTAAACATTTGTGATTCTTTAATTATTCTTTAAATACAATTACCAAAACATATTGACCCATTTTGCTAACACAAGTTCCTTGCCTCCTTGAGGCAACTGTTGTTGTAATTTAGCACTGTACGGATAAATCTGATTCGAATTGAATGTTTTTCATTCAGACAGATGTAATTAAGCATCATCCAGATGTTTTGTGTCTAATGCTGAAGAGGTTTGAGTTCAACTATAATTACATGTCATATGTCAAAATCACCTGTTCAGTGGAGGTTCCCTACACCCTGCAGATACCAGAGGTATATGTTCAGAATATTTTAGTATTTAATCATAATCCATTTTATTTTCTTCAGTCATTCTGATGTTTGCCATTTTTCCTTTGGTGATCAGAATCAGACATATGAACTGTATGCATTTGTGGATCATTTTGGTGATCTGAGAGGAGGACATTACAGTGCAACAATCAAGATCCAGGAGGAAGATGGAGACAGATGGTATCAGTTTGATGATTCCAGGGTCACAAAGGTAAGACTGATCACTTATACATTGTTGACACTGTTTACCCATGGAGAGTGGCTAAACAATTCCATCATGTTTTTTTGTATTATTTTTACATCATCAGCTTGATTATCAGCCATTCCAGCTGGATATCACTGACACGTAAGTTTTTGTACGTCTTATCCTGACAGTACATTATTTGCATTACATGTGAAACATATGTATTACATATCATATTTATTCATTAGGTCCCAGACTGCATATCTTCTGTTTTACAGGAAAAAGAAAGGTAAGAGCAGATACTTTGTTGTGGTTTCTTCAGCTCTTTGGTGTCTGAATGATTTTGTTTCTAATTTGTGGTTCATGCTGCAGATATTGGTACTCCAGAGTCCACAGATGTGTCCACCAGTGAACTACATACCATCAATAATGAAGATCAGAGACAAGATGGGAAAAATGAGAGAAAGAGAAGGAGAGAAGGGGAGGAGACAGACACCGAGAATGATCCAAAGGTTCCTCGCTTAAGAGAATCAGAAGGATTATCTGACACGCGAGGCACTGAAAATGATGACCTAGATCAAAAACACACAGCAGTGGATGATGTTAAAAATAACAGACCAGATAATAATCCTGATTTGAAACCCTCAGTCAGTGACACATCAGCTGTATGTGATAATCTAAAAAGACAAAATTATATGACTAAATTAATGGATGATAAATCAGATAAAGATGAAAAGGCTGAAGCTAGACAGTCAGAGGAAAACAGCCATGCAGGGCATCCACCTGACACTGTTGGAGAGAACATATGTGAACATCAGGAGAATAAAGGAAAAACTAATGATTATTACATCCCTTGTCTTAATCATGCTGAGGAAGAGGAGGAGGAGAAAACAAAAACAGATTTTCAACATGACACAAAAAGAAACATTAGTGTTGATAAACAAACAGCAGTGATGTACTGTGACACATTTCAGGATAAAGAAAAAGTTATTGATAGAAAAGAAAACAGACTACAAGATGATCAGAGTCATAAACATGGAAAAGGAAAGCGTGATACACTGGACATACAGGAGATCAGTGTCACACATTCAAATGATAATAATCTTTGTGTAGAGACAGAAATAACAAAGGAAAGACTAAAAGAGAAGCAGGAAGGAAAAGAAACTGTAGAGAAAAGCTCACAAGGCAGCTCTGAAAGATCTGTCAAAAATAATGAAGGAAACACTATAAATGAGGAACACGGAGACAGATGGAATAATTCTGATGATACCGCGGTCACACTGGTAAGACTCTTAGTCCTTTCTTCATTGTTGCTAAAACATATTACAAAACACCCGTGTTGGACAGTTATGTATTACAGAGGAGGAGAAATAGATGAATCATGTTAAACTTTGCTTTTTCCATCGCAGCTTAATTATCAGCTGGTCCAGATGGACAACACTGAGAAGTAAGTTTTTGTCTTAAACAATTTTCTATTTTTTGCAAATAGCAGGGGTGTGCTGACATCTGCCTTTTGCAAGAAGGGATCCTGCAGCATCCTTAGTACCCCTGCTTCCCATAGCCTTGTATGAATATGGTATTTATAGCAGTAACTTACACCATCATCACTGTGAAACATGGTGTTGGCAGAGCCTTTTTTTAGGGAAAGATTTTCTTCAGCAGGGAAAGGGAGGGTTGTTAGAGTTGATGGGCAGATGGATGGAGCTAAATAAAGATGCAAAAGACTTCACCGTCCAGCATACACCCAGAGCTACAAAGAAATGGTTTAGATCAGCCATTCCCAAAGTCAAGAGTGCTGAGGCCGACTTAAAAAAAAAACAAACAAACAAAAAACAGAACATCTCATGTTGGGCCTCAGTCTTAAAGCTTCAGTTCAATCAAAATAAAATAAAAAAAAAAGCAAAATTATGTATTTGCTGAAAAAATGTATTAGAAATTTAGGTTAGAATAGCAACCATGCTACCAGTTTAAATTCTGTTTTTATATAAACAGATGTACATAAATATGTAACAGTACATACTTTTTTGGAACTGTAACTTCAAACGGAATTTCTGTTTGGCCCACCTGCAGTACCTTGGCAGTCCACCAGGAGGCCTCGGCCCACACAGGTTTAGGTTTCGATCAGGGGTGGGCAACTCCAGGCTTTGAGGGCCGGTGTCCTGCAGGTTTTAGATCTCACCCTGGGTCAACACACCTGAATCAAATGATTAGTTCATTACCAGGCCTCTGGAGAACTTCAAGATATGCTGAGGAAGTCATTTAGCCATTTAAATCAGCTGTGTTGCACCAAGGACACATCACAAAGCTGCAGCACACCGGCCCTCGAGGCCTGGAGTTGCCCACCCCTGATTTAGATCAAAGCATGTTCGTGGTTTAGAATAGCCCACTCAAAGTCCAGACCTAAATATTATTGAGAATCTGTGGCAAAACCTGAAGACTGCTGTTCACAGTTGCTCCCCATTTAATCTGACTGAACTGGACCCATTTTGCAAAGGGCAAAGATCGCAGTCTGTAGATGTACAAAGCCTCCAAAATCTTGCAGGTCTGACTGCAGTGACAGGGGGTTTAGCAAAGTATTGAACCACAAGTGTTAAATGAAAATCAATGCCACACTTTTCAAATTTATATTTGTAAAAACTTTTCAACACATTGTATCATTTTCATTCGACTTCTCAATAATGTGATACTTTGTGTTAGACTGTGACATAAAATCTCAATCATTTTATAAGTTTAGAACTGTCAGGTGAGAAAAGGTAGAAAATTTCTAGGGGTATGAATACTTTTCAAACCATTGTATTAAAGCTTGAGCTCCATATTTTGATTTATTTGAAAGTTAAATTAATTTCTTTTCCCCATCAGAGCCGACACTCAACTTCTAGAAAATGTCAAGAGTCATAAGAATGCAGATCAAGCTAACCTGGAAGTCAAGGACAACCCTGCTGTACATGGTCATCTTAACAAACAAGATGTGATGAATGATGGACAGAAGGAACTGATGGACTTCAGACCAGAGACGGATAAACAGACTGACAACAAATGGGTGTCCCTGACAGCAGACCATAAAAGCAACACAGATTATCAGGGTAGTGAAGGATCAGGCGATTCTAGAAAGAATACTGGAGAATATGGGGGAGGTAGACAAAATATTGGAAATGATTACAGCTCTAAATCTATAAGTGTCGAAGCTGATAAAGTAACGACAGGACAAAGAAACCTGTTAACTAGATATGACCTCTTTCATGGATCTCAGGACACCCAAACAGGCAGTGACAGAATACAAATCATACCCAAAGATAATCAGATGAGTGAACAGAGGCGCATTAGCAGGTTTCTTAATGAACCAATAGAAGAAGAAGAGATGATGGGTGAAGCCAGTGATCATGATGTTAAACATTCAGCACATAAAGATGTTTGTGTGGAAACACAGAGGAGGAGTGTGAGGGATGACGGGGAGGACACGAAAGAAGCTGATAAATACATTCAAATGAGTGAAATCACCATTGAAAATCCTGACAACAGTGAGGCTGTAAAGCATGAGGTTAGCATGAGATTAGATGTTAGAGGGCAGAAAGCAGCTGAGAAGATTATCAGTGTTACCCGTACATCACAAAGTGTTGGTGGTGTGCAGATACAGAGCAAAGAACAGAAAAATGAACATGACACCAAACTGAATCAGAGTGAGGGAAATAAGATAACAAAGGAAAGACTAACAGAGAAGCAGGAAGGAGGTAGTGATGAAAATATAGAACTGGAGCGTTTTCAACCAAAAGCAAGAGCTGGAACTCAGCAACTTACAGAAGGAGGGCGTGGTTTAACGAAGACGAGTCTTCTTGTTAAAGTAATTGACGAAGAACATACAGAAATTGATAGTGCTTGTAAAGACGACAGTCAGACAAAGATCATCATAAAGAAAACTACGGATGAAACCACAAAAGAGATGACAAAATGGATAGAGAGTCAAAGAAATATTAGAAGAAGTTTAAATCTTTACATAGATGAGAAGGTCACTTTGGACAGCAAATGTCAGCAAAATAAAAAAAATGTATATATATTCATGAATATTTTTGATACCAAAATTATAGTGTTATAATACTGCTCATTTTTCCACTGTTGTTTTTACAATATGTAGCTTCAGCATGGTCTTCTTCCCTTTTTCATTCTTTTTAACAGCAACTTCTGTTGATGTAAAATGCTTAAGTTTCAATTTACTGCAGGATTTATTTAGTGTAACATTTTTTAAAGGTTCAAAGAGACCCAGGATAGACCTTAACACAGAATTATATTTATATTATTACTGAGTTTTTTTGTCTTTTGTTCTTCATGGTTTCATTTTTTAGACAGTATAGTGTATCACCTATTTCATTTTATTTTCACATTTGTTTGTGTAAAAAAACAAAACAAAAAAATGCCAATGAATGTAAAGTGTAAAGTGTGTCAATGATTTCAGATAAGAAATTTCACAAGGAAATATTAGATTGTAAATCTTTACATGTGTTAATTAATGTAACATTTGTAATTGGACACCAAGCAGAGCTCTTTGTGTGATCTCGTGCACGAGGGAGATGCCTGACACGAGTGTTGTTCCTGCCGCTCGAACCCCAGTCACTCTCAGTTAGCTCCTTCGTAGCACTGCTCTTTATTGTGGTATATGAATATTCACGGGGTCAACATGTGACCCCGTGAACAACTCCACTAAATCTGCTGGGCCTGGAAGTCCAGCAGTTCATCTAAACAAAAGGCACTCACACTTAAACAGACATAGATGTGTTTACCATACCATAAAACAGTAACAGAAGGTACGACCTCTCTCATGACCTTAGGATGTGTGTGCTTGCCAGAGTGCTCTGGGAGGCACACAGAGTCTCTGCAGACTGCTAAGGATCAGACATCATATCAATAAGCAATTGATTATATAACTCTAAGAATATATGAGTACATATTTCTAAGCATAAATGACAATCCAACAATATAAACCTAACAGGACAAACAAGAAAATAGTCCATATCATTATCATTTAGTATCACAGACTAAATGTGTATTCTGTTCATTTACACAGAATCTTGACTTGATTATCAAAGTGTCTGACCACTACCGGCACACTTTTGCACCGGAGGTTTTCGTAAAGCTTTTATTTTGGTATTTTCGTTGATCCGTACAATAAATTTGCATGTTAGCCTAAATATTTAGTTTCCTGTAACATTTAGATTTAAAAAAATTAACATTTAGATTTAAACATAATATTTAGATTTAACATTTAGATTTAAATATAATATTTAGATTTAATATTTAACATTTAGATTTAAAACCTGCAGGACACCGGCCCTCAAACATTTAGATTTAACATTTAAAATTGTGTTTTAAATATGAAAAGTTACAAACATTTTACTAAATGTTAAATTTTTAGTTAAATTACTAAAAATTACTCGAAAAAACATGTTTTTGTAAGGTTTTGAGCTAAATGTGGAAAAATGTTGCCCTTAATTTCAGTATGTTTCACTTTACAATCAGCGTGGGTCTAAACAGAGCGCGTTGTGTGTGACGCTTTGATGGCCATGAATGGTTCACACTAGAGCGTGTTTGCTGTCTCATTTTACTTGTAGTGTGAACAACCAGACAAAAAAAAATCGGATTTGATCACAAAATCGGAATTGAGCATTAAGACCTGCAGTGTGAACGTAGCCTTAGTTTCTGTGCCACACAGGTATTGATGTTTGTCTAGGAGCCACACCATCACTGCAGGGCATGTAGTGAGTGCTTGTTTTCAAGCACTCAGGAGTGAGTTTCAGACACAAAGCAGAACTCTTTCTGACAGCGAGGACAGATGACGTTCTTGCAGCCTGTTCTGTCGTGCTCCACCCTCTGACCACAGGTGGGACAGGCCCGGATGGAAGGATAAGCATCGACCCCCTGAACCTGAGGAAGGGCGGTAGGCTTGCAGTTCTTGAGAAGTTCAAGGTCGTGATTGATGCATCCATCGTTGTCACAGTGGCCAGAGCGTGGAGCGCTGCCTTTCCATGGCTTCAAACACTGCCAGCAGAACTGGCACACTTTCTTCTTGTCAGCAGTGCAGATAGTGCACTGAACATTAAGGTTGGTCAGGTCCTCTCTCCACATAACCAGGACACTGTTAAGACAAACATTAAAGAAGTTCAGTGTTTTTTTGTTTGTTTTGTCTTTTATTTTATTTAGAATCACATCACTGAAACTGATCAGACTGATATTATCCTCACGTCAGTGCAGTAAACTGACCAAGTTAGTATATTTTATCATGATGACTAAGAGCAGTGGAGAATTTGCCAGCAGTGCATTGACCAAAGATCAATGACTGCATTTATAGTACCTTTAACCGAAACACTTTTATAGTTGAGATTTATGGATGATCAATGGACAAGTCAAGCGACCTCCCAATTTAAAAAAAAAAAGCTGTGCCAGATAATATTTGAGCTTGCAAATATACCCATCCATCCTATTTCACTTATCTGGGCATGGGTTGTGGGAACAGCAGCCTAAGCAGACAAGCTCAGACCTTCCTCTTCTCCTCCAGCTTATCTACATCAAGGCGTTCCCAGGCCAGCCTAGAGGTAAAATCTCTCCAGCGTGTCCATGGTTTGCCCCGGGGTCTCCTGGAGGGACATGCCCAGAACACCTCACCCAGGAGGCGCCGAGGCTCCAAATATATAATACCCATACTTTCAAAAAACAGGATTGTGTGTAAATATACATTTAAAGAATTCAATAAAAATTCCTCAAACAGTTTACCATTTGAAAATGGTAACTTTTTTAATCTGCTGTTTGAGCACTGTGAGTGGGCCAAATGGGCCACCACCAGCGGAGACGAGCTGGTGGTGACCGGGCTTCCGTAGCCGCCAGCAGGAACAGAGCCAGGACCAGCAGGTCTGGAGACCCCTGCTGGTCGGGAAACACTAACTGTAGCTGCACAGGGTTCGCGGTCGGCTTAGAATGTAACGGCTGGGGCTGTGCAAGGTAAACAGTCTGTCCAAGCTTTGTCAGAAAGATACAGTCCTCAGCTGACTGAATGAGCTCACCAGAGCTTTTTAGCAGAGAATGGCAGCAAGTGAACAGGCTGCTGAGCTACTAACTGAGCTAGTGACAGAGTTAATGACTGGGCTAGAGAGGGACCTGGAAACAGAATTAAAACCTTAGCAGGTAACCTGACCCAGAGGCTGAACTAGAGACTGGGTTGGTGACAAAACAGGAACGTGAGCTGATAACTGAGCTAATAACTGTAACAGAAGTTGTAGTGGTGATTGTGATGATCAGTGTTGGGAAGGTTACTTTTAAAATGTATTCCATTACAGAATACATGCCCCAAAATGTATTCTGTAACGTATTCTGTTACTTAATGAGAGTAACGTATTCTGAATACTTTGGATTACTTAATATATTATCATGCTGTTTACAACTACGTGAATGTACTATTGCTGTGATTTATTACTGTTACTGAAGGTCCGCGGCTCCAAACCGTAGTAAAGGGACCTCTGGCTAATACTGTGGGTTCTGTGTCGGGCTTGTAGCCGAAAAATAGCTTTACTTTGTTGTCTGGGTCAACTTTGCTAGCGAGAGACAGAGAGAGGCATTGAAAGGCTGCTGCGACGGGACTTATTGTTTTTGGAGGAAAACACGAACACGGTGTACAGTCGAGTCTTAATAGCTTACTTACAACTGGACTCGTCAGGCACTCTTCTTGGCTGCAGTGGTTATTATTATATTTACATGCTTCCAGCTGTATGGCAGTCCATTCTCCCTGCAGCACGGACTACACTGCCTATGATGCTACATTCTTTAGACCTGTAGCATTCTGCCTATTAGCTTAGCATAACAACAACAAAAAGGCCTCTCTCACCCAGGAAACACACAGAGACAGAGCGTCACCCTGTAACCATGGCAACCGTAACGCTGCCGCCTGGAACAACAGAACGTAGCTGTCAAACAAAACCCAAACAGTCCTGACCCGCCACAATATGAAACAGGGAAGTACCGCCGTGTAATCCATTTATTTCAACAAAGTAACTGTATTCTAAATACCACCTTTTTAAACGGTAACTGTAACGGAATACAGTTACTCATATTTTGTATTTTAAATACGTAACGGCGGTACATGTATTCCGTTACTCCCCAACACTGGTGATGATGGTTGTGACGGTTGTTGAACTTGTGACTGAGCCGGTAACTGACTCCGAGTTGAGCTGGGTTATGGCTGCCTTTACCCTGGGAGCCGGTGTAGGCGCAGGAGCTGGCTGGATCTCTGCTGCTCCCACCCGAGGAACTGAAACAGGTGCTGGAGTTGACAGGGTCACAGTTGCCCTCACCCGGGGAACCGAAACAGGCAAAATATAGTTCCATTAAAAGAATGAGAAAATGGTGATACAAACAACAATAAGTAAAATAGGAAGCACACAGAGATGCAGACCAGAGGGGAAGAGAACACGGGGAGAGCAAGAGAGGCAAAGGAAGAGAGGCAAACAGTGAGTCAGTTTATTTCCCACAGTTTTTTCAAATCTGTTGACTTATGGTTCCAAGTGTTTTCACCAATTTATGCATTTGATTATCAACTCATAACACCTGTTATAATCCTATCTCCATAGAGACTCGGTCTGCTCCCAAACAGACAAAAAATAAACTAAAAACCAGCAATAAACAACTTAAGCATAAAAAAATCACAAAGAAAGAACAATAAAGTACCCACATCTGAACCAAAGAGTAAAACAGTAAAATGTGGATTATTAAATATTAGGTCTCTCTCCTCCAAGTCTCTGTTAGTACATAACTTAATAATTGATCAACAAATCGATTTATTCTGCATTACAGAAACCTGGTTACACCAGGATGATTATGTTAGTTTAAATGAATCAACACCCCCGAGTCATTCTAACTACCAGTAACCTCGAAGCACAGGCCGAGGTGTGGCAAAATATTTTCACACCAGCCTTCAGATAGCCCAAGACAGACTTTTAATTCATTTGAAAGCCTGATGCTTAGCCTTGTCCACCCCAGCTGTAAAACTCAGAAACCAGTCTTACTTGTTATCATCTATCATCCACCTGGGCCTTACACAGAGTTTCTGTCTGATTTCTCAGACTTTTTATCTGATTTAGTTCTCAGCTCAGATAAAATAATTATTGTGGGTGATTTTAACATCCATGTAGATGCTAAAAGTGACAGACTCAATTGGCTTCTCTCAAAATGTAAAAGAACCCACCTACCACTTTAATCACACTCTAGATCTTGTTTTAACATATGGCATAGAAACTGAACATTTAACAGCGTTTCCTGAAAACCCTCTCCTGTCTGATCATTTCCTGATAACATTTACATTTACAATAATTGATTACACAGCAGTGGAGAGTGGACTTTATCATAGTAGATGACTTTCTGAAAGCGCTGTAACTAAGTTTAAGAATATAATCCACCCACTGTTATCATCTTCAATCGCCTGTACCAACACAGAGCAGAACAGCTACCTGAACACTACTCCAACAGATTATCTTGTTAATAACTTTACTTCCTTACTACGTATGACTCTGGAACGTACGTAGTGAGCAGATAACTCGTAAGCTGGAGAGGAAATGGCGTGTCACAAATTTAGAAGATCATCATTTAGTCTGGAGAAATAGTTTGTTGCTTTATAAGAAAGCCCTCCGCAAAGCCAGAACATCTTACTATTCATCACTGATTGAAGAAAATAAGAACAACCCCAGGTTTCTCTTCAGCACTGTAGCCAGGCTGACACAGAGTCAGAGCACTGTTGAGCCAACCATCCCTTTAACATTAACTAGTAATGACTTCATGAACTTCTTCACAAATAAAATTTTAATCATTAGAGAAAAAAATTACCCATAATCATCTCACAGATGTAATATTATCTACAGCTACTCTTAGTACCATTGATATT